ATATATATATCATTTCATTTATTTTTAATTTTATTTGTTCCAAGCAATAAATAGTGCAATTGAACAATAGTATGTATATAATATATTCAAGTTGGTTTAGTGTATAGAATAATACTAATGGAAAAAAATGCAATATTTCCTAGTTTTTAGACAAAATGTGGGATTTCCTGATCCCAATCCCGAATTCCCGTTATATTTAGGGATACCGATATATTGGGATTTAATAGTATGCGGCGGGATTGAAATTTAAAATTTCTATCCCAAATCCCGAATCCCGAATCCCGAAATTCCAATCCCGGAATTCCCGAATTCCCGAAATCGCGTCCCGAACTCACTCCTAAGTTTAACACAGTAATATTGTTATATTTATCTCTAGCACAGTAATATTAACACAACAAAATTCATTATTATTGTGTAATAGAGTAATATTAATATGTTCACCGTTAAACATAATAAAAAACCAAAAAAAAATAATATTATTGTGGTTGACAGTAATATTACTGTAACAACGGTAATATTACAGTCAACCACAGTAATATTATTGTGTTTATAGTAATATTACAATAATAGACAATAATACTATTACGTTACTCCGTCAATAACTCAAACAAAGCAAAAAACCCCAAAAAATAATAATATTGATGTGGTTTTTACTGTCAACGACAGTAATACGACAGTAATATAATTACGTCGACTTGTCAACAACTCAAATACAAAAAAAACAAAAACCAAAAAAAAAAATATTGTTGTTGACTCTAATTGTACTGTCAACGACAATACAGTTACATAAATGTATTGTTAACGGCAATAGAATTACGTTAATGTACTGTCAGTGTCAGTATTATTATGTTAATTTACTGTCGGTGACAGTATAATTACTGTTAATGACAGCACAATTACGGTCAACGTTTAGCGGCGGACGTAAAAAAAAACACTAAAAAAAGTAAACGCCAGAAGCCGGCGGCGGAAAAGACAGACTCGGAAAAAAAAAATTGACGATTCAATGCTCGAAACCGGCGGAAACAAATAATTTCTGAAAGAAGAAAAGTATTTTTAAAATAAAAGTCAAAATTTGATTTTTGTGGTCAAAATTGATTAAATTGGGGTTACAATTAAGGATTGGGTGTACAGGGTTGCGGTAATTTTGTCATGTATATTAATTTTTTTCTTTATTTATAATACATATTAAAGGGATGCCCTTAT